CTTGATTCATTAGGCTATTTAAAATCTTAGACAGAATTAATATGACCCCCTACAGACTGACACTACCTCCAGAGTTGTCTAAGGTTTATAATGTGTTTTATGTTTTCATGCTACGCAAGTATAATTTGGACTCCTCATACATCCTGTCCCACGAGTCCCCTCCATTCTAGGAGGATCTATCCTATAATAAGGCACTAGTGGGCATTGTAGACTGAAAAAGTACAGTACTCCACAATAGAGAAATTTCATTCGTCAAGATCTTTTGGGAGAATCACACACAGAAAGAGGCCACATGGGAGTTAGAATTAGACTTAAGAGTCTAGTATCCCCAATTATTTGACTAAATGAAATGGTGATAAATTTGAAGGACTAAATTTTTTCTTAAGTAGGGAAGAATTGTAATACTCAGGTTCGAAATCTTGCCCAAGATCAATTTTGATAATTATAAAAATAATAAAAAATTATTTTTAACTTAATTTTATTAAATTATTTGAGAAAAATAGGTTATGGGCATAATTGAAAGTAATTTTAGAGAAAATGGATGAAAATTTGAGTTTGGATAATGTTTTTGGAAGAAAAATTAAAAACATGGGGTCAAAATGCAAAAAAAAAGATCAGTCATATGAGACAGCTCAGTCAGCAGTCCCGACGAACTGGAGCACGCCGCATGGCAAAACACGCTAATGTCAGTGCCACGCGGGAGTCCATGTGCGCGATCCGCGTACCTAGTGAATCGACGGTGCAGGTTCGATCATGTGCGAGTGAACAAATCAGATTCGTTCCCTTGTTATGCGCGATCAGATAGATGAGATCAATCGCGATAAACAGTCCAAATTTATCTACATAATCAGCCTAAACAGGCAACGATCAGACAGCTCTCCTAACTCCATGTCGATACTAATGGACAATCCAGATCGATGCAAGATGGGTATAAAAAAGTCATATCATAGGGGAACCCTAACCCTAACCGCCCTGCCCTCGCCGGAGAAGAAGGATCAGCCGCCGGAGAAGAAGACTGACCGTTGACCGCTGCAGCGCTGGAGCCTCTACTGACTGCAAAAGAATATAAAAAAAATTTCTACCCACTCAGAATTTGATTCTGAGCCTTCCTGTGATCATATCAAAGCAAGAGGGATGGTGAGTGAGCTAAAAATTATGGGCAAAGCCAGACGGAGCCACTACGACTGAAACCCAAAACCCCCTCCAATAAGCCCCTTCTCGTTTTCTGTTTCACGCAATTTTTTGACCAGTGTATTCACTTTTCTTTTCCGTACAGGTTAG